TTATTTTCTTTTTTCTGATCCTATAAATTTCTATCACTAAAACTGATTTTAAATTTAATTGTAAAGGTTTTAATATTTACTCGCTGCATGCTGCCAAAATCTTCTATTGTCCCATCATCATCCAGATTCAAATTCGTCTCCTTGTCCCAAATTTTCTATTTTTAACAGAGAGACCATAACTCATTGTTTCCAGAGAAGGGGTTTGGAAAATATTCTAAGAAAGGAAAATCCTCAGTGATTTCATTTGCTAATGAGGCTTAAAACTAATATCTGCACAAACAGCTTGCACAAAAAAAAAAGGTCTCAAAGCCAAAAAGGGCTTAAAGCCAGGCAGGGGAAGAGAATAGTTCAAGATTAACTTAGTGTCTTCTCTGATTTCCGGTATTTAGGTTTTATAAAAATAAAAATGGGAGGGATGGATTCTAGACCTAAAGCCAGCCTGCACATGCATATTTTCTACCTGCTGAGTCAGCAGGTCTGGCTGACATTTGTGTAAAAGATGGGAAAGACCTTGTCTGTAGGTGTCTGTGCTCACACCATTTGCTCTGCCCTTTGTTGTGCTGTATTTTCCACCCTTAAGAGTCTAGGATTTCACTGTGCTCAAGAAGCATTTGAATACAGGAGGGCAGGCTGCTCAATGGCTGGTAGGGCCATCTCTAATGGAAGACATTGCTCCTAACATCCCATGCATAGAATACTTCAGCCTCCTTCAAGTCAGTTTTAAGGGTTGTGGAGAATTTTTTATATTTCTTTTCCTTTTTTTGTCTTTGTAAAGGAGCAGGTTGCACCAAAGACCAAGTGGTTACAAACAAGAGCATTTCTTGGACCTATTTGCAATGCTAAAGCCCACACCTCCTGGTTCTGCAGCAGCCAGTGCCTGACCCACAAGGCCACAGCGCCTGCCCCTCTGCCAAGAGACTGGACCTCCCTCTGCCCCACTTTGTACATCTAAAACTTGTGCCTAACAAGAGTGGTCTGTGCTCTCCTAGTGCTTTTCCATCCCTAGACCTCAAAGTGTTCTTAAACTGGATAGACATTATTTACCCATTTCTACTGTTGACCTACGTATAGAGATTTGCAGCAATGCTTACACCAGGTGTACCATGGCCAGATATCACCAGATGGGGTTTATATTACCATCTTGTTGTGGCACATCACTTAAAATTTGAACTAACAGTGTCTGATATTGGGGGGAAAAAAGAGATAAAGCTTTTGTTTACTTCCTTGTGCTTATGGTGTGCAGTTACTGACGTGCTTGAGATCTGCAGGCACTAGCACCTTGCTGCAATAAGAGGGGAATGGTAAGGGCCAGCTGTATATCCAGCAGCAGTAATTTCCCTCCTTGTAGTAAAAGATGTTTCAGAGCCCAAGTTTGCCCTGTTTCCTTCTGGAATTCCTTCTTGGCCTCTGCAGGAGGGGAGAGACTGGCCCTGACACTGCAGTGATCAGGCAACCACATGGGTCTGAACTAGAAGGAGGATGAGAAGTAATGAGAATGAGACCTTCAGCTGGATCTTGGAAATGCCTTATTTCAAACATGCTATCTCATTTTCTAGACAAAAATATTTTTACCCAACCACTTATTTTTTCAATAGCAAAGTGCTGTGCTGTGCTTTCAAACAGCACCAATTTCTGGAGCACTCAGCTGCGCCTGCTTCACTTCTTGCCTGAGCCAAAATAAGAGTCTACCTAGCATTCAGAGCAAATATAATGAGAGACAGCTTCATTACACAGATACATGGCTTAAAGAAATGCCAGGCACAATATCAGGCCATCCAAAAAAGGAACCCTTTAATACCTTTTAAGAGAAAAAAAATAAATTACAGCTTCACTTAAAATATAAATTCTGACTTTTCAATTAGACTTCTGCTCTCTCCATTTCCCAGAACAGAAGCCTGTTTTGTTTCACACATTGAGTTATATATAACATGGCATGAAATCAGCCTTTAAATGGAGCTTGACTCACATACTTTGACTTAATCCTTGCTCCTTAAAATTAACAATATGATTCTCCATTTGGAACTACAGGCTTTTTTTTTGTCATGTTATTTGTATAAAATATGTGAAATGAGATTGTGAAAATCACAGAATTGTTCAAGCTAAAAAATACCTTTAAAATCTTTGAGTCCAACTGTTAACCCAGAACTGCTAAGTCCACCACTAAACCACGTCACTAAGTACCACATCTGCATGTCTTTTAAATATGGGATGATGACTCTACCACTCCCCTGGGAAGCCCATACCAAAGCTTGACAAACCTTTTGGTGAAGAAATATTTCATAACGTTCAATCTAAACCTCCCCTGGAGCAACTTGAGGCCATTTCCTCTTGTCCTATTGCTTGTTACTTGAGAGGAGACTAGCTCCCACCTCGCTACAACATCTTTTCAGTTAGTTGTAGAGAGTGAGAAGGTCTCCCATCAGCCTGCTTTTCTGCAGAGTAAACAACCCCAGCTCCCTCAGCTGACCCTCATAAGACCTGTGCTCTAGGCCCTGCAACAAGCTTCGTTGCTCATCTTCAGACACACTCCAGCACTCCAATGTCCCTCTTGTTGTGAGCAGCCTAAAACTGAACATAGTATTCAAGATGCAGACTCCTCAGTGCTGAGTACAGGGAGACATGGCTAGGAGTACATTTTATCTTATACTTAATATTTCTAGAATAAACAGGAGGTAAAAATCAGCCAGGTAGCTAGAGAGAATTAACATATTTCAGTAATGAAGTATTGCCTGTCTCAAGGCCTCACACACAAAGCTTGACCTCAGAGCAGTTGCACATAATGTTTTCTCTATCAAGAGAATCTATGCGTAATGATGTGTCATAGGTGCTCACACATAATATGTTTCCTATCAAGAGTGATCATCCATATTTTATATAGCAGCTTTGATGACATATCTTTTGTACTTCAGCTGTTTTTTCTTCCCTCTGTCAGATTTAATGAAGGAAAGTCATGGATAGTTTTTAAATGTCAGCTTCTTAGATCACATTACTGTGTCTGCCTTTGAAAGTAGATTCATATAAGAGCCACAAGACAGGGGAGAGAAAGAAAAGGACACTTTTATGTACTTAACTTAAAAATAAGCCAAACTTTCAGGCTGTTAATTTCAAAATCAATATACTTTGTATCTTTGGAATCTTCTCAGAAAAAAAAAAAAAAAAGCTATCATTACTGAGCACTCAGTATTTTAAGAGCCTAGTGAAAGCAAGTCCAATAACTGAACTGGGGTTGCAGTTTCTCAGTATGCAGAATGCAGTTTATTCTCACAGTAGTGGTGTGTCCTGGGGGGAAAAAAAAACTCCTCCAGGTTGTTCTACAAAGTGAGAGTCTCAGGGAGCACAGAGAATTTGGTTCTTATATTCTAATTTAAATTATCTGTCCGAAGCAGTGTCAAAGTTTGTTCTTTGCCTATATGTTCTGCCCTACTGAGAGAAATAACCCTCATTCTGTATTCTATTAATAAAAGAAGAAAAGTGAATTTGAACTCCCTTTGTGGTTTGTCAGATTGTGGGAGTGGTTATCAAAACCTCAGAGCATAGAGGAGTGCTTTTCCCATTCATGGGCCATGTCTCTTCTGCCAAAATTGTAAGGGAACAAAGTACAAAGGTATTCCAGAACTTCTCTGCCACTCTTCCCTGAGCTAGCAGAGAGTAGTGGCTTTCAACCTGTAAGGCATGGATTCACATGGACTCCTGGTCTGCCTCCAAGGGAACCACAGAAGGGAGCTGAAAAAAGCAAGTTCATTGTGTATGCAAGCTATTTAGCAGTGTCTGCAGATAAAATTAAAATCGGACCATGAAAATAGGCAATCAAATTATGGCACGTGCATATTTATAAGATTATCACTGGCTTGAGGAGAAAGCAGAACAGGAAGCCAATATTACTTACAAATAGGATTTACAAATGTAAATGAAGACTAGATTTCTCTTACATATGAAATATAACCAGATGTCTCAGACTGAGAGATAAAAACTTATACTTAGAAAAATGCCTGGATTTTTCATATAATACAAGGCCAAAAGAGAGGACACTGGGTCTGGAGCTACTTGATGCTTGATTATTTTTCAGATCCAACTCCTATTTAAAAATGAAACCAAGAAGCACTTAGACGTATGTAACGACTTCTAAAGTACAAAAAGATGCAAAACATTATTCTCTGCCACTGAGAATTAATACACTGATTAACATCTGCTACTGAAAAGATTGTCTGCAACAGCACCCTCTTTTCTGCTACCGCAAAAGTAGAACTGAACAGTTTTAAGCAATGAGCATAACAGGTTCTCCTTTCCTTGTCTGAAGAATTAGAACAATTCAATTGAAAAGCAAATATAATCCTACCTATGCTCCATGCTGGGACTGGAGCAGGGTAAATGCCACAGTTAAGTCCGAACATCAGGTTGTAATTGTTAGAGATTAAAAACATGCCAGAGCGAACATTCCAGGGAAAGAAGAAGAGTGAGAAGGATGGCCCTCCTGTGTCTTTTTATTAAGGCAAATTAGCATCTGATTTTACAAGGGCATACTCCTGCACAGCAGAACTCAGATCAAATGGCATTTAGTCAATGAAGGAAATTATACACTAGGTTGATTTTTAATCATCCAGCTAGGAAACAAAAATAAGTGAACATGCATGAATCTGCTAAGCCCAGTGCAGACGAGGCAGAAGAGCCACTGAAAATTACTAAAAGAAAAACAGCTGTTCTCTAGGATGCTACCGTTCCATAAAATCTATTTCAAATATAATTTGTTGTTAGCTGTTTCTGCAAGATGTGAGCACATCAGTTCAGCTTCTCATTTTTATGCAGATTAAATAATCTCTTTAATAAAATATCAGCTTATAAGTGAAACAAGAGAAAATGAAGCAACCTTTAAGAGCTGTCAGAGAGGTGGGTGGTTCACCCTTCCAAGTACAGAGGAATTGTTATTTCGTGGATTTATCTAATATGTTGTTCTCTCACCATTGTTTGTTTTCTTTTTTTAATGCTTGTCTTCTCAGTGCATCCTAACGTGAGCCAGGGTTGCCAAGGAGGGTGTGCTACATGTTCTGACTACAATGGATGTCTGTCATGTAAGCCCAGGCTCTTTTTTGTTCTGGAGAGGATTGGCATGAAACAGATTGGAGTCTGTCTTTCCTCATGTCCAAGTGGATACTATGGGACACGGTATCCTGACATTAATAAGTGTGCAAGTAAGTGCTGGGGAAAGGGTAAAAACATGGATCTGTTTATTCTCTCTTGAATGCTGTGTCTCCTTAGGATTCAAGTCAACAGAGAAGCAGACGGACAGGCCATGTCTTTATTTGTTCAGTTCTTTAATAGTAGTAATATTAACTTGACCCAAAAATTTAAGGTGAAAGATCACAAAACAGCCTCCTGAAAAAATACAGCCTGAAGGCCTCCCCCTCCACATGCCCTTGCAAAAGGGAAGCATTGTTGGGCAGCAGGCACTGTCCTCCAGCAGCAAGAGGAAGAGGCAGCAGCTCCGAAGTGTGAGGGCTGAGGGATGCTGAATCCCAGTGGCTGGAGCCATTTAACCCACTGCCCTTGCCTACCTGACCCCTGCAACAAGAAAAGAAGAGGGCAAGTGGCATTCTTTGGAGATGTGGTTTGCCCTGGTCTCCTTACAGTTTGTCTCACACTCAGTATAATATAAATGCCTGTAGTAGCTGGCCAGGTTTCAGCTGGCCAAGTTTCAGCCTGGTTTGGGGGAAGTTACTGAGTCATGTTGCCTCCGGGCTGGGAGACAGAGAACTCGACTCTCTTCTTTACTGCTCAGGCAACATTTTGACCCCACTGTGTATTTTGAACCATAAATGAACTGGAAAAGTTCACAATGTCCTCCCTACTCCTCTGTTTGTTGTTGAATTCACTGTTTTTAATCCCACAGGTGATATAAAAACACATAAGAGTGACGGCCAAGCAACTCTCCCAGTTTTTACCTGGTAATAAAAGTTATTTAATGAACGGACCTTAGAGTAATTTGACACCGTAAAGTATTTTCTCATTTTTTAGCAATGTGTGGCCTTGCATATCAGACATCAGCTGTGCCATACACAAGTTTTTATGTAATTCATTTAAAAATATCTGAGAACTGGGAAATATACCACTAACGTCAATTTGGGTAGTCATATAGAGAATACATGAAATGCTACAAGACATCTGACAAAACATCAGGAAATCATTTAAAAAAGAAAAATATGTTGATCAAAACAATCTCAAGCAGATTCTAAATTCTGGCATATTTTTATTTCTCCTGGATGAATAAAGATAGATAGCATGCAAGTGGCAGAAGCACTGGGCCATTGTGGGGGTTAATTAGTACCTACATTTTGTCAGTATAAGGCAGAAGAGGTATATTCTTATTCTCTGCTGTGCTCTGTCTTCCATTTGCATAGGTCTGCAAGGAGACAAGCAGTGTGAGGCCGTTCAGCATCAGGCCACCCTTATTAAATCCTCACTCATACCCAGGTCATTTGTGGCTGGCCTCACTGTGTGTACAGGCCACAGAGAAGATCTAAATATAATTTGCTTCCTCAGAAGATTAACATTGCTAGAATTGTGTGATTCTGGTATATGTAAGAGAGCCCATGGTGTTTCATGGCAAAGAGCAACAATGTTGTTTATTGTTTGCATTTCAGAATGCAAAGCTGACTGTGATACCTGCTTCACCAGAAACTTCTGCACAAAGTGTAAAAGTGGGTTTTACTTATACAGCGGAAAGTGCCTTGAAAAGTGTCCTGATGGGCTAGAAGCCAACAATCACACGATGGAGTGCACTAGCATCGGTAAGTCGGGTCCCTCCATGTCCTGCCCAGTTTTCTCACAAGCAAAGGGGGATCTAAGGAAGGCGTGAGTTGCAAGATCGGTTACACCATCAGGGAAGTGCAACTTAAAATGGAAATGTTCTGCATCACCATATGTATTCCCTAGAAAAACACACTCAAGGTATTTCCCAAGTCTGTCAAGAGATACAAGCTTGGTTGTGCAAACACAGTTTGACAATAAGGGCAATTCTGCCTCAGGAAATACGGCCTGTTTGGTCTGCCCGGAGGTAGAATGACACCCATTTCTTAATTGCTTTGTTATGGTGTTATGCAGCACCACTAACATCAAAAGTTCAAAAATTCCAAGCCAGACTCCACATGTAGTTGAAAGATTAACACACTAACTGCTTTGCTGTAGCACCCTTGCACTACCTGAGCCTTCAATGCATGCATGCATCAACATTTTGAGGCTTGCCTTCACAAAGGTGAAGGCTAAGAACCAAAACATTAAGGAAAAACAACAATAAAAAACTCCAAAATGGTAAAAGTGTATAATCATTAGGCTCCATAAACTGAGATTAAAATAAAACATCAAATAGTGTGTCGCTGTCACTGAAGGAGTGAATGTTGACGCTGGTCCTGTGACTCACTGGCTGCAGAGAAGAGACCTGCTTTTGTATCCCTCCAGCCTCTGACTCACAAGCTCTGATTACTCACACCAAGGCAATTTTGGAGGTCACCACACCTAACTGTCCGTGCCATCCCTCTGCCACCACTCTGGCCGAAAGCAGAACAAGTGATATATTTGCCTCTGGGCTGCTGCAGTTGACATCCCCTGTCATGGGCATGCTGAAGTTGTGGCAAGGTTCAGCTTATTTTAGTACACCAGCTGTGAATTGTGGTGGCTGAGGGCTGTGAACTGCGGTGGAAACCGTAACCTCTTCAGCCACCAGCAACCAGGGAGCGCTTAGGCGCAGTCTGGCCATGATGGAAATCTTCACCCCCACAGTATCATGCACATAGCTTACCCTGGCATCCCATGTTTTGGAGGGAAAGTAATAAAAGAATAAAAATTATGTACAGTACTTTAGCATTTTCCTTCTCAGATATATGTTAGTTCTGGTGGTAGTGATGTTTTTTTTTTTTTTCATTATTTCATTTTCAATCAAAGACTTTCATCTTTGAAAGAAATTCAGAGGATTGTTTTCATTTCTTGATGGCTGTTTCCAAGTGCTGTAGACTTAGCTGCTTTAACAATGAGTCAGTCTCAACTAGGAAAAGCCATTTAAAGCTACAGAGGAAAAACAGAACCTCTTTGTGCACGTGAAGGCCAATCATTTTAACAGGAGAGCTCTGGTGTAATGTGAAAACCAAAATTACCCTCACGACAATTCACTGGAGGAAGGCACAGAGGCTGCCTGAGATCAATTATATTTTTAGGTTTTGAAAAATTTGGAAGTAAATTCTGGAGCTGGAAAAATATTGATTTAAAAATTCCTCCTTACAGAGGAGCTGGAAGTCTTTCCTTCTTCAGTAGTGTTTTATGGTCTTAAACACATGTGAACAGAAGTAAATATAAATGTTTACTATCTTTTATCAGGAGAAGTATACTGAAGACATGGCACAAAAGAAGGATAGTTATTAAGAGCATGTTGTTAAGCTTGCCAAGTTGCTTCCATTTTTACCTATACTGTTTGGACAAGCATCAAGCTGCACACATTTTGGGTTCCCAACAGTACAGGAAGTGCATTCAGATCACTGTTGTTCAGAAACTGCAACCTGCACTTTTATGAAAAGCTTGCACCCCCCTGACCCAAATTCTCCTCTGCTTTGCCTACTCACAGCTTGTATATGCTACGAATGATGGCTTTTTCCCTATTTAAGCTGAACACCAAGCAGTAGATCATCAAAGATACTTGATTCTTAATGTAATGCCTTTTGATATAATTTGGTCCTTTATAACTCTATTGATTTCCAAATTCAATACATTTGAGACTAACTGCAGCATCTTGATCCAATGACTTCACTCTGCTTTCACATAGGCGTGACTAACATTTAATTCCACAGAAGCTATAGGGATTTATACCTCCACAAAACCAAAGCAACATCAGAACAAGCCTCAGTAACTGATTTCCTTGAGATCAATTGTGTTGTTGTTGTTGCCACATTTCAGGAATGGAATCAAGTACAAAATAGTAACTGACATAATTATTTGACAATATTTTGTGCAGTATATTCTCAGCAGTCCAACTTCTGTCAATTCATTGCTGCAACTCCTGATTAATTCCACTAATTTTTGACACCTTTTGGCTGATGCAGACGAAAATTAATGTACCTTATGCATTATGTATACAAAAAGATGTTGGCCAGGCTCAGATTGTCCTATGTTTATTGCAGTGCACTGTGAAGCTAGTGAGTGGAGTCCATGGAGCCCTTGCACAAAGAAAGGAAAAACATGTGGTTTCAAAAGAGGAAATGAAGTAAGGGTCAGAGAGATCGTACAGCATCCATCAGCAAGGGGCAATCCTTGCCCAGCTACAAGCGAGAGCAGAAAATGTATTGTACAAAGAAAGAGATGTCAGAAGGAAGGAAAAGGTACTACGTTATCATCATAATAATATGAGATTGGTATTGTGCTTGTTTAATAACTGACACATGAATTTTGAGGCCTTCACTGCAGGCTTCACCAAAGCTCCCATTGATGTGGTGTCCTTTGGGCCGGAGAGAATCATGCCCTTGCCTGGAGTAAATAAAGTTCTAATGCTGCTCAAAAAATGCGCTTTGTGTGATCTAGAGAGGACAGTGCGGGCTGGATGGGAAGGCACATTCTCTCTTGGTTCTGCTGAATGAGCTAACAAGATGAGGGGTTGTATATGGAGCAACAAAAAGATCCATTGTAAAACATGTCATGGTGGGTGTTGTTTGTTGGGTATCAGGCAGCCAAATTTCACTCTTCAACCATGGGATACTTCCAAATTGATTCCTATTTCATGATTCTCTAAAGGTAAGATGATAACTCTTGCATTTGCAGTTCTGTGGTCTCTCTCCCACCCTGAACTCTTTCTAGTAGCTCTGGCTGAACAGTGTGGCCTGATCCTGCCACCTGGAGTGGCTTGCTCATGGAGTCCCAGCATGGGATAAAGATCACAACACTGCATGGCAGTCAAGGGAAACTCTACTTGGTTTCACCCAATAACAAGAGTGCTAGCAGAACCATCTCCCCATGTGAGCCAGCTCCTTGGATTTATTCCCCATCACCATACCCAGTGAAAGGCATCCCACATGTTAAGAATGGGAGACGCATATGAAGTGTATGGAATAATAATTTATGCAAGTTCCACTCAGTAGAGGTTGTTGTTCCATTGTTCCCTTTTCTCTCCTTCTTGCAGCAGGGAAGTTGCTTGCTCTGTCCCTGGTGCAGTTACTCTGGCTGTCACAGGAGTGTCACTAGAATATTTCAGTTTCCCCACTCCTCTCATTTCCCCCTTTCCTCTCAAACCAAAAGCGAGGTTTCATCCCTTTTGAGGATAAGTGGAACAGGTGGAACAGCCACCCCCTATCTGAACAACTGTGAGCCAGCATGAGCTGCTGGTACCAAGTAATAACTTACCATTTTGTTGTTAAATGATCACTAGGGTTGCCACAGATTACTTAGAGAAACACCAAAGGAGTTTGGAGCTTGTAATCCTTCTGAAGACTGGCCTATTCCCTAGGGATATACCTCAAGAGAAGGGAAATAACATTAGAAGGATGATCTTATAAACTAGACAGCTACAGGGGCCTCACCCAAGAATTGGCTAGATCTACAGATTTATGGGAATCTATGGGGTAGATATCACCCCCTCCTCCTTGTGTCAGTCAGTGTCTTGAAGAGGCAGAGAAGTGTGTCTGCCTCATGGAAGCAGCCAAGGCAAGCTATTTATGGATTCAATTATGCTTAGAATCTATGTCCAAAATGTCCATGCTTGCTTCTGCTCCCTGCACAGCGGCACGACTTGAAACACAGCCTCTCATTAGCCCACAGTAACTGGGGGAAGAGTCCCTTTCTTTCTACCAAAGGTAATTTTTGCCAGAGATGAAAACACAGGACTGAACTGACTGTAATTCTAGAACTGTGAAATTGGTGGATTTTGAGGTGATAGCGATGTTGTGTATTTGCTTACAACAATTTGGCAGTCTCTTCAGAGTGGACAAGGCGTTTCACTTTGCGAAATGCCTGCTGTTCCTCTGTAGTAAGTACTTTAAAAGAAACTACTCACGTATTTTACTGTCAATTCCTATTTTATGGGATCTAAGCCAAACCATACTTGAAAAATACTGCACACCACAGGAATTCGCTCACAATTACAAATCTTTTTCATTCTCTTTTTTTCTGTAATGTGCATAAAGGTAGGGGTTTTTTTTGTTTGGTTGGTTGTTTTTTTTTCCTTTTTGAGCAAGTCACAGACTATATTCTAGCCTATTTTAAACTCTGTAGACATTCCCTTTGAAACCAATGCAGGCACACGGAACCTATGTTCCAACTTTAATCATGGCCTCAGGTTTTGTATGTTGATGTCTGAGATCCATTTTAACAAAAAATTTTTTTAAATCACCACTATATCCTCAGTATCCAAAAAAGTCTGTCCCGTTCATTCTTCTACATGTTCACAGGGACATGAGTTCAAAATTTAAAAAACTCCAACAATTCTTAATAAAACTGAGGAAGTTTATACATGAAATATTAGGTTAAATAGCTTTAAGGGGTAGATCATGACAACAAGCCAGGAAACTGAGAATTAAGCTAAAAGTTTTCCTTCTGTTCCTACTGGAATAGGGAAATTAAGTTTTCCAATTTAATCTCCAGACAACTTATCTTCCCTACTGCCAGTGTCCCTTATTACACAGAGAGAAACTTCTGTTCCCCTTTGAACAATAGAATAATTGCACAAGAAACCAAGCTGGGTTCTGTTCTTACAGCTAGCTGTGTTCAGTCAGTGAGTACAGAAGGTGGTAACAACTAAAACACTGAGCTTTCTCAAAGTAAGGAGGAAGGGAAAGTAAATACGTTTTTATTTACTGTTAGATATATTGAAAATGCTCTTTTGTATTATACAATTCCCCATTGCTGCTCAGGCATCACTTTGGGGTTTAGCTTTCATGACATCAGCTTTTGAACTGTAACAGCAGACCTAGCAGACACCAACAGCGTTGCTTAATCTTTTCTCTATGGTCATGAAGAGAGAGTTAGATCTGTCAGCTTCTGCCATTTCCACGTTGAATAGATGCCTGCGGCTGAGGGAGTTAGGGCAAAGACCACATGATGACGGGGTATGCTCGTCACAGATGCCTCAATGACTTTGCTCAAGAAGTTGAGGTCAGAGACAGGATGTTAGTTAAATCGCTGCTATCGCTCAGAAGCAAGGCAATGTTTCTGGAATGGCTACACAAAACATGATATAATGGATGAAATGTGGAGGGGTTTTTTGTTTCTATCTGCTGGCGTGTCCTTGAAACTAGTGAGATCTATTTCAACTTTTTTTTTCACCTCACTGGCTATAAAATGAAGTTTTACTGGGAGAATGTGCTAGTAATTTCAGAATGAATGCAAACAAACGGGAACAATGAAGATACAAATAGACTGACTAGCCTAAAACATTCTTTTTACTCATTTTAGTACTAAATTAGTTGATGCCAGTGTGTTCTGATTCAGTAATTCCCATGTGTTTCACATACAGGTTCCTTTTTAGTCCGCTCCCACCCAAACCTCACTGTAATTAATTTCATCATTCTCTTTTAATCCCATGATGGTGAGTTCTTCTTAGTCTGGATGACTATATGATTTTAAGTTCCAACTTCTTCTTCTTTCTTTCTGTCACACTTTTTTTATTTTTTATCCCCCAGTGCAGTGAGCTGTTACTTTTACCTTCCCACACTTAACATCTCTTTGGCTCCTACCTTTCACTGATAGACATGTTGAGAGTCATGTGTTTTCTGTAGCCGTGTCCATTAACAGCAAATGGATGTACTGGAAAAGCATAACTTGCAGAGCTCTTCAAAGACTGAAAATTATCCATCAATATTGTTTCTTTGCCTTAATAAATGTTCTCTGGCCAAACACAAGTCCCTTTGGACTGCTGTCTGTAAATGTGTGAGACTGACTTTTACTGGACAAATATCAGAATTGCGTATGAAAGTATTTATGGGGACAGAATTGCATGTTTTCATGCATGAGTAATTCTGCCACGAAGAGAACATTCACCATATGACTTGCTGTTGAGCACCAACTAACTCCCTCCCCTGGCCCCCCCAGAAGACAGTTTTAAGTGCTTTCAGAGAACTTCTTGTGATCAGTTTGAAGAGTTTAAAAACACTCACCGTAAGACTCAGTGTGTAGCTATGAACAAGAAGGGCATCTTAGAAAGCTGGGTATTTTGCAAGCCAGTTGGGAGGCTACATTGGTTACACAGTTGTATTGTTCTAAACAGACAATAATGCATTTCTATTGCTGCTTGTTCATATACTGATTCATTTGCATGCTGGTGGAATTTAGATGTCCACAGGGGAGAATCGATGTTAACTGTGTCAAGTTCTGTGCAAACCAAAGAAAATTTCTGTTCCTGACAGGCAAAAAGTCAAGCATTAGACATGAAGACATGGTAGGATTAATGTAGAATAGCATATTTCTTTTTCTCTGTAAAGTGTAGGAGTTGTCACTTTGTAGAGTCTGGAATCAGGATAGCGTTATGAAAGGAAGAGGGACAATTCTAGTCAAAATTCACAAGACTGCAACTCCCTGGAGGCACAGTAGCTTGTCAGTTAATGTTTTGTGTTGTAAGGAGAATACAGGTATTATGCTGTGATTTTTTTTTTAGTGTACACCAAGATAAGAGAGAAAGTGTCTCTGAGATGTGAAGCAGAGTGCAGACTGGTAAAGAGAAGGGAACCAAGGGAACAGTATTTTTTGTTGAGCAGTTTTATGGAGGAAGTGTATATATTTTGGGGAAATAAAGTAAAAGAAATGTTTCCATACTACACTGTGTACATGTGTATATAAAAATTCAGCTTTGATTTAAATATCTTGGAGAACTGAGATCCAGGTGATCTCTGTTGTTTCTCTGAACTAGTTCCTGCACCCTTTATTGTTATATGTCCACTTAACGCTTCAAAAAAATTAATCAGATCACTTCTGAAAATGTCTTCAGTTGGGTATGATGTGAGGAAGGAATCCTATTAGGCATCCAACAAATTTCCAAAACCACCACTCAGCTAAAAATCCCAAGCCATGAATCAAGAATTTACTCTAGCAGAAAACAAGGTAACTTAATACTACAAACTTAAAATATTAGGCAGCAATTTAATTTCACTAACTCATTGAGTTATCCACCCTAAAGTACATGCTCTGATGCTGTATCAATCCATGTAACACTGGAGCATGGAGTGCTCTGGAGTCTAAACTAAGTTGCCTCTTTGGTATTTCACACAAAGAAAAGTTTCTGCAGTTGATTTCCAGCTGAGGTGCACTAATGTAATTAACAGTCACTTAAGCTGTCCCAAGCAAAACAGAAAAAGAGTCCTTACTAAAATAAAAGGTGCAAAGGTTGTGTCACATTTTC